AAATTGGTCGATATTCAATCAATTTCAAGTACTTGATCTACTATTACGATCTGTCAGTCAAGAGAAATCGCGATTTTATATATTAGAAGAAAAAGATCGATATCTAATAACCAACATTCGATTAATTTTATATCTTCATTTTTCATCTAATCCAATACTTTTATCCAATTTGTCACATTAATTTTCATCATTGCACATCAATTTATATGTCCGTTATGCTTGTGAATATCGCGAATAATTTTTGAAGAAGATATTTATAATTCTTAATATATTGAGAAAGAGGCAAGATCAGTTTTCTTGTGTCAGTTTCCTTCATTATAATCGTCAATCATACAACTTTCATTAATGAATAATAGCTGTTAATGGTTCCTCGTTTGTTAGTCTTAACCCTAGTCTTGACTGATACATAAAGAACTCCTGATCAAATTTATGGAGTGATTAGATCGTAACAATGTTTGATGAATTATCAAACGCGAATATTCTTTTTCGATAATCACTGTATAATATTATGAGATATACGCGATATTATTAAACATATGATTAATATTAGGGGCAAAACTGTGAAAATAAATAAAATGGTTTGTCATGAATGACGCGGATAGAAAGTCACAAATGTGATTTTTATTCGATTATAATTAGCTCTTATTGTAATGGGGGTGTAACGTTAGAAAGGATCCATACTCAAGAGCAGTCTTACATTTTTACGCGTCTTACGAGAAAAGGCTACTTAGAAAGCCGTTAAGTCGATAGAATTTCCAAGCTACTTTCGTGTGTAGTCACTTCATGATTTCGCTGTCACTTGAGATTTATCGATCGCCTAAGTACACGCAATGGAGGACGCACGCACTAATATGAACAGGAACATTATTTAGTACCTCATCTACAAAGAGCCATCGATATCCGATTGAGAAAGCGCGCTCCTTCAAAAAGATCCTCAAGTGAATTTAATTACGCATGTACAATCTAATTACTTGAATATATACATGTATGGATTTTGTTAACATCTTAGTGTGATACATTACTTTTTATAAAAAGAACATTTCTTGGAAAATTTCAGGATTATTAAAATGATTATTAAAAGTGATTGATTATTTAATTTAACCATTTATTTGCGATGTGATTATTACAAATCATTTTTCTCTTTTTGATTTGTTTTAGTTAATTTTTATAAATAATATTTAATAATAATACATTTAATAATTCGATAGAAATTTAAGTAGATGGAACTGGGATTTTATGCAGTTTTTTTTAGAGCGCAGTAGTTTATAATTATAAATAGCTGCAACAGTTTATTTTCTACCTACATTTTCTTCAAATTTTTAATCTCTTAAAATTTTCTTTAATTTTTTTTATTTAATACTTTACTGGTTTTATATTCCCCTATTTATTAAGACGGACTTTTGGTCTTGGCCCAAGCGAGTTAATTTTCCCATGCTTACATTACTGTAATTATAATTTGCGTTGATTATCCTAATTAAGCGGCAATTAAAATTCTTAATGTGTAAATTCTGTGTAATCAACTGCGTTGTACTGGCGTTTCTTTCGTACATTGTATTTAGATGATATAATTTTAAAAACATATATATTCATACACAACGATATATATTATATATTTAAGTACAATGTGTTTATACAATATATGTATAATGTGAGCCAGAGACATCTAAAAAGGAAAAACTAGTCCGGATTACTTTAAGAGTCGTTCTAGTTCCACGACTGACAAGTTTATAGACCAGATACATATGGCTTCGTTTTCTAACGAATAAATTTCTCTAGTTAATAATTGCATTTTCACCATTGACTATCATTTTTATTGCCACGCATTAAATCTCATCTCTGATTTTTCGCGCAAATTTATATATTGCAAAATAGCAGTATCGTACATATCTTCGTCATTTCAATTGCAGTTATTTTCTTTTCACACACGCGACGTTGGAACATGCCATATTTATAAGAATTATGATAACACATACATCATTCACAATATTCATTAGAACTGAATCCCCTTTCATCTTTTAGAATTTGAATTTCTATTTTCATTTTTTGGAGCGTTATACGTGCTTTTATCTTTTCTTTAACATAATCTAATGCTCTGCCTGTGTATAGTTTGCATATAATAATGCTTTACTGCGTTACGCAACAATACTCTATGAATGACGTCTGAATCAGGAAGCGTTATTATTAATCCATTGAAGAAATGCTTTGTCGTACTACATTGCCTACCTATTTAAATTGATTGTAACTTGTGAATGAAGTCTACGACACTTGCAGCGCGAAGGCTACCAGCCCATGCGAAAAATATTATGTTATAGGCGTTGACAGTAACCCACACACATTTGTAGGCATGCTAGGCATTTGCCATATAAGTTGCTCGACAATTCAAGACAAGAAATGCAGGATTATTTTCACGATTGAATTAATATTAATTTAATTAAATGACATAATGTAACGTGATATTTTTCATTGTTTAGAAAAATATCGATCTGATGAATAATAGGATAAATATTCATTTTCTATGAATGCGTAATCATTTCAGCTTCGAGTAACAATATCAAATTAATATATTGAAACTAGATCAGCGCGTGATAAAAATAAATATATATATATATATTTATTTATGAGAGAAAGAAAGAGAGAAACTAGGTAAATTAATGGTTCGGTAAAGTAATTATCAGAAGTTATAACAGACACAATATATTGCAATGATGAAGAGCGAGAATCATAGTGCAAGTAAAATATAAAAAATAATAAGAGATAAAAATATATAAGATGAAAAATATATAATTTTTAAAATTATATATTTTTCATCTTTTATTATTTTTGATATTTTATCCTGTCTGTTTTATAGTTTCTGATCATTATTTTGCCGAACCGATTACCATCGCGTTAGTTTACCTAGATTCTCTATTGCATTTGAGATCAATGTTTGTGAGTTGCAGCCTGAACAGACAGTAGACAGGATTGCGGTTTCTCAGTGGCAAACTCGTCGTTCTCGCAAACCGGCTCTGCTCATTGATCGATGTTCGCCAGACCGTGAAACGATCTCGACGAGGCTTTTACCATTCGCGGTGACATCGCCTCTCCGTCTGAGGGTTTGTCCACAATGCGCCATTCGTTCCGATTAAATGCACATGCGATAAGTCGATTGTTTGGAGCCATTGTCGTAATTGAGATATAATCATATTTTATCGGAAGAGCGCGGAAGTTGATTTTTCCGTTGTTGCCTGGTGCATAAGTATAATGCACTCTGCAAGTGACTCCGTTGTACGAACTAAAATGTCAATTACAAAATAAGCTTCCGATTATTGCGTGTCACATATACAGATATAAAGAATGTTTTTATTAAATTATAATTAATTTTTTTATTGAATTTTTTTGTTTGATTCAATGAAGAAGAGAATATATGCGAGCCGATTAAAATGTGAAAACATTAGAATATTAAAATAATTTTATAGATTAATTTATATTATGTGACATATAATTTGTTAATTATTGATATATGTTTTGTTTACACTGGTTTACTGACACCTATATGGATTTTTAAGGATGGTTACGTCTTTAATCTTTCTCAGTCTTTAATCACAATCGATCAACCACGATTTATATTAAATTTAAAAAATTCTTTTGACACAACGCTTACATGCGCGAGTGTTGATACTTTCTAATTATATAGTTACATAAAAACCATTAGCCTGTATTCCTAGTACGCGGTTTTCAACGTCAAGTTCGACTTTCAGTATGACATCGGAAACGTATTATCAGCCACAGTCATGCACGAGCCGTCAAATCGTGTTAGTTTGAGATTTATATTACTGCGGTATGAAAGAAATATTTTACAAATTCCAATTCGTGTGAGCGCGATAAATCTTTTAATATTGAATATAAATAAATTTTTTCCGCGGTACGATGCGTTAATTTCACCTGCTAAAACGTGAAATTAATTTTTGTGTTTCAAAGATTGAATTAGCAAATAAGCACACGATCACTTGTACTAGAATTCTACTTATACTGAAATTATTATAGTCATCATTGACAGCGATCGAGCTGCGTTGTGACAGAGAGACGTTAGCGCGGTTCGCTGTGTTCTCGAATTAATTCCATTGAATATGCATGTCAACAGCGATAGCATTCCAAGCATATACATATACAGGCGTCAATAAATGTCGCATGCTTCGTGCCTCTTAATCCTACGCGTGCCATAGATAATTCCGGATTGAATAGTACGTTAAAGTATTTTTAATAGAAGCGAGAAAATACAAGATCATAGTATCAATCAAATGCTGAAACGTTTTATCAACTACTCGATCATGCACGAAGAGAATTTTCTCTTAGAATTTATCCTGGAAATTATGGCAATCGTGAGACAATATAGTATTGGAAGAATTTTATAAGAGTTTCTCTGATTAATATTTACCACAATTAAAAATATTAATATGTACATATAGTAAAATTAATCGAACATATTTTACATCTTACAATAGTGTAGTAGATTATTAATATTTTTTATTGTGGTAAATATTAATCAGAGAAACTTTCATAAAATTCTTCCAATACCATATTGTCCCACAATTACCATGATTCAATATCATCATATCAATATCATGATTTTCATGATTTTAAATTTCAAGAGAAAATTCTCTGTGTATTTATTTCTATTCCTACTAAATGCAATGAATTGCAATAGAAAATTCGATACGACTTTATTTATTCTAAAATTACTGCAATTTATAGAAATATATATAGAATTTATTTAAGTTCTTGAAATAAAATATCTTTTTGCTTAGCACATTTTATACTTGCGCGAGATTTCAATTTTTATTTTCATTATATATCGGTATTTTTTATACTTGAAAAGATTTTATTCCAAATAAATTCTAGATAAAGATATCTTATTGTTTTATCGTTTGGACAAAACGTAAAAGAATTTAGGTGTTTTTACAAATCAAAAGGAACAACATGAAATAGCAATGATACAGTTTTCTGCATTTTTTTAAAGACAGACAGACAAGTGACACTTCAAGCCATAGTTTTTCTACGACTTTGATGATGAAAAATAATGGAATATAATGGATATACGTGTGATATTTTATCTAATATTATCATAAAAGTGACTACGAGAAACTTGAGGCACGTGAAAGTGCGAGAAATGGTGAACAAGCCTGAAAGAAGAATTGCAACGACAAGACGAGGCAAGGCGATGGTGAAGTCGTGGTGTCACATCACTTCGTGGTGTGAAGTAACGTGCGTGCCTGAGCCTAAAGTCATGGCCAAGAGTATCGTCAAGAACGATGGAGGATGTCCCCTGCATTGGGTTGACAATTCTACCGGGCAATCCAGACACCTTCTTCGAGTGGTTGTCTTTTATTTAACCATTTTGGCGATATTGTGGTGCATCCCTGCCTGTCTCTATCATCGGTGAGAAAGCGGGATGTTTTCGTTAGCTTTTGGGCTTCTCCTAAAATGTTGATAAATGTTGGTTCAACGAGCATTGCTTATTTTGGAGATTAATCTTTTTAGAAAAATGCAATCTTAATTTTTTGTAAGTCTTTGCTCATCTAGAATTACATATTTAATTGGATGGAAAATATAGAAGTTTTATTGAAGAACATTTATTAAAACTGTAATTTAAATATATAATAAAATCTTTTTTATAGCTCTTTCTTATAGAAAAATTGTATATAATGTAGGATGATCCTTAAATATATATTTACATAAAAATTTATATTGATCATATGATATATTTTAACAACCGATCATAAAATTAATTCCAGCAGTTACACATGCTCCATATTTATAAGTAATTATACTATATTCACATATGCACATATTTTTTCGATGTTAATTCAATTTTCATTATTGTATCTCATATTTTCAATATAAATGTTATGATACTGAAAAATTCTATGCATCTGAAAGTAATCATCGTACATTTTGTTTTAGTATTCTGAAGAGTCACATTTGTTATTTTTCCTATTATATATGTATAGTACAAAGCGTCGTAATGCACTGCAATATTGTCTTCAACTTTCTTTGAAACAATATTACAGTATTTTACAATATTTATAATAGTAATATATATATATATATTTTTTTTTTTAAATAATAGATGCTATGTAATATATTATTCTTTTTTAAATGGCGAATTTCTTAACATAATTAATTTTATATTTTACTTCAAAATGTAAGACATCTTAAGATAACAATTGAGAAATAATTAAGATAAATATTTTACGATACGTACAATTTATTTATTTAAATTATTTAACATTTAATTATTATAATAATGAAAAAAGCATAATATAATATGTATAAACTTATATATAAATTCTTTCATTTTTCCGAGTCATTAATTTTTCAATTAAAGAAGAATTAATTGAAGATTTATTCAATAATAAAATTAGGTAATTTATTAAATCCTGCCACACGAATCTTATACATATACAAAAATATATTAAGGCTAGAGGTGATATTTAATAGACAAATTATTCTGCAAAATTTTTAATTAAATACATTATTAAGATATTAAGAAATATTAAACATTATAATTTTTTATAAGGCAATATCACATTGTTTGGCAATAGAGGATTTATATAGCGAGACATTAACACAATTCGATGTTTGTCTTATTCGCAGGATCTCCGAGAGCGGTCAGGCGGTAGTGTTGACATTGGTGGACACCGCGACGGCAGAGTTGCAGAATCTGGCTGAACCGAAGATCGACCGCGAATTCCCCTCGAGAACATCCATCAAGAATTCCTCGATATTGAACGACAATCAAGTTAGGCAGTCCGAACACATAAAAGAGATCGTCGTGCCGACGACGCAGATCCATCCACCGCTGATTGTCGACGAAACAACGACGACGACGGAGCGGCCGAACGACACGGATGCTCTCGAAGACGGGGAAGTACTTTTGTTGAAAAAGATAGCCGAGGAGGCGCCGGAGGTCGTGGTGATCGTTAGAGCGGAGCAGAAAGTCAACACGGACGAGTTGGAGCTGAGAGTCGAAGAAGAGATCGGCCAAGTTCAGGTATCCGAAGATCTGTCCTCGAAGGTCGATGATACATTCACTACGGCACCGGAATTGAACGATACCGCGGCCAGAGCACAATTGATCGGTGGTAATAGAGATGAGACTGCAGCGGTGATCTTAGACGGACTCGTTGCTTCAGGACCTTCCGATCCGCATGAGGATATTCCATCCTTCAGTGAATGGGCACAGAAGCGTTTGGAGGAAGCCGAAAAGAAAAAAAGTATTTTTTATTATTAAAAATATTAATTTTTATATTTATTTAATATTTATTTAATTTTAATTTAATTTATAATTTATTTTTATATTTATTTAAATATTTGTTATATAAAAAAAAGTTATATTAATTATAAGAAAAGGATAACGATTATTGCATTAAATTAAATGCGATTGCATATTTTATTTATATCATATTTTATTTTACAGCTCATCCAAATGCCTCCGTGCAGACTCCGGGTGCTCCAGGACGAGGTGTAAGTGGCATGAAGATTCGTTCCAAGAATTACGCCTCGCCCGACTGCGGCGCCAAAATCGTGGCAGCCAATCCCGAAGCGAGTGGGGCCAAAAACGTTTTGGTGTCCACGCGGGATGAATACATGCTAAACGCATGTACATCGCGCGTTTGGTTCGTCGTCGAGCTCTGCGAGGCGATTCAGGCGAAAAAGATCGAGCTGGCAAATTTTGAGCTCTTCAGCTCGTCGCCGAAGGATTTCTCCGTCTACGTGAGCGATCGTTTTCCTACCAAAGATTGGAGTCCAGTCGGTCAGTTCACCGCCAAGGATGTGAAGGACATTCAGAGCTTCGCTCTGCATCCTCACTTCTTTGGTAAATTCATCAAGGTTGAGCTACAATCACACTATGGCTCGGAACATTTCTGTCCCGTCTCGTTGTTTCGCGCTTATGGTACCAGCGAGTTCGAAGTGTTGGAAACCGAGACGGAGAATCAGATTCAAGAGACGAGCAGGGAAGACGACGACGATGAAGATAGCGACGAGGAGGAATTGTTAGACAGTGAAGGTGGTGATCCACCGAGAAATCTCTTCGGCAGCGCACGCGATGCAGTATTAAGTATCGTAAAAAAGGCCGCAGAGGTTTTAGTGAAGTCCAGCGATCTCACCGGAAACAACATCACGGAAATCCAGCAGAGTATCGACGACGGTAATATTTTGGACCACTCGTACACGAGCTGCACGACGCCCAGATACACGATTCTCTGCGGCAATTGCACCGATCAAAAGTTTGCCAGTGTTTTTCAACTAGTTAGTTGCAGAGATCGACAGTTAAACGATTTACTTAAGATCGATTGGATGAATAGAACTTTGAGACGGGGGAGATTATGTGGTTTCCACAGTATAGAAATCGAGTCGTCTTGGCGAAAAAAAGAGGAAGAAATGAATTACCACACGACGCGTTTCAATTTGGCGGAAGATCTTAAAGCGATTTTTTTAGCTTCCATCTTTAAACCCGAATATATTGTAGCGTTGTGTAATGTTCTGGCAACAAGAGAGCGTAAGGTAGTGATGAACACGAGTTATGAGATTCCTGCGAACAATTCCGAGGATGCTGACAAAGAAGCTATTCTATCCCCTAAGATTACCGATCATAGTAGCGAGGCTATTTCTCATCATCAAGTATCTGTTACGTGTACTTTGGATTCCAATTCTGCTTGTAAATCTGCCGCATTATCCGACAAAGAGTTCCGGCAGCGTCCGTTGGTTCAAGATAGCGAGGAAACCGAGGACATCAATTCTGCGTTCATAAAAACTTCGACTAGCATGGATAATCTGGCGTCACAGATCAAACCTACGAAGACACTTAGCAAGGAGGATATGAAAAAAGAATCTTCCATACCAATTTTAGAACCTAGTAAGGAGCTCACAGAGGAAACGTTGCAGCCAGAAGTGTTGACGACTGTTCCGCCACCGGCTAATCCGACGCCAACATTGAAAATCGTTGAAGAGCTTCCGGTTCTGGGAACTTCTGTCGAGATAACATCGAAAACTATAAGCAGCATTTCGTCGATGAACTCCCCTGACAATCAAGAAACTGCTAATACTGTTGCGTCTGATGCGGAAAGTGCTGAGACTATTGCGAAAGCAGACAAATCGGAAAATGGCGAACAAGATGTGAAACAGAATGTGAAAAATTTAGGCGAGCAAGAAGTTCGATTATCATCTCAAGATCACCTTGCGTTGGATACATTACTTTCTGATTTGAAAGATTTGGAGAGTGACACTGTTAACATGCAGAATGGAGCATCTAGTTCTTCAATGACTCAGCCTACAGCAAATGCTGCACCTCAGAAGGAGTCTGTCTTTCTTCGACTGTCCAACAGAATAAAGGTAAGAAAGACTATCTTTCAGAAATATTTAAAAAATATTTATTACGAGATTATTTTAAAAGATATTGGAAAACACTTGAGAAAAAATAAAAGAAATAAAAACATTATTATACAATTTATTTATTTATTAAAGCAGTTATATATTATTAATTTTTTATATGAATTTTTTAGGCTTTGGAAAGGAATATGTCGCTCAGTGGGCAATATCTGGAAGAGTTGAGTCGTCGTTACAAGAAGCAAGTCGAAGAAATGCAGCGTTTATTGGAACGTGCAGTAGCCGCTATGGGCGAGGAGTCTCGAAAGGGAGAAGAACGCGAAGCGAACAGAATAGAAGAAATTGCTTCTTTAAGAGAAGAAATCGCTATACTCTCGAAATCAGTCGAAACTCTTCTTTATGATCGTGACAGCTGGCGCAGTCGAATATCCGCAATTGTTCAACACGCTTTGCTAATCTGTTTGGAAGTCATTGTTATCATTGTGATACTCTCTTACTGTCGTAAAGGAGATTTTGAAGAGGAAGAGAAGCTTCAGTCGAATACAAAGAAGGAGAACACGCGTCGAAAGAGTGCGGATAATTTTAGTTCTCATTCTGCAGCCAAGAAGATGAAGAAACGGCGACCTAGCGAGATTGCTTCTCACATCAGCGGCACGTATCACGAGTTGATGATCGACGATCGATCCCATGAGATGACAAAGAAGGAGCGAAAAAAGAAACGTAAGAGGGAAATAATCGCTACCGGAACTAGAGTAGGAATTAAGCTCGACGCGAAGCAAGAAGCAGTTCGTTACAAGAGCGTATTAAATGTGATCCCTGACGGTGCGACATCGCCATCGAGAAGAATATCATCCATAGAGTCTCCACATTCTAAGGAGTCGCGGAATTTACTTGACAAGAGGCCAGAATCTACGCCCGAGGCTGCTGTAAGTTGGTTCGACGATCAAACAGAGAGAGAACGAATCGCGCAATCTGCATCGTTGAAAGACAAAATCTTCAAGATAGATCCAAATTCCGAATCTGTTCGTCAAGATGACAGCGAATCCAATTCATCGTCAGCGCACAGATCTGTTGATGGATCAACCACGATCGAACGGAAGATCGGGCCATCAAAGAACGGCTCGTTTAGAACTAGTAGTATCCTTAAAAGTGCGAAATTAAGCTCGCCGTCTTTCATGAAAACTGCTTTGGGCGCGAGAAATAAAAGGAAGTTCTCCTCAAACTCCATCGAGAAATGGGAATCGAGTCAGGACTCGGAATATTCAAACGACAGGTCTTTCTCGTCTATTTCCACGGATTTAAAGACACTGTCACAAACCATCGATACCACCAACGGTGGAGCCGCGAATGGCTTAATTGGGGAGAGCGACGAATCGAGGAGCAGTAACGTTACACCTACGTCGAGCAAAAAAGAGAAGAGAAGTACTGGTTTAAAAAAAATGGTAAGAAAATTTTTTGATTGAAATAGATCCGCGCATAGACTGAACTGAAACATCGATCTTCGATCGAATTGCCATATAAACTGCAGATAGGCTTTACTCGTTATTGCGTGATAAATTGATTGATTTAATCAATCAATTTATTAAAATAATCTAAATAATTGAAACTAAGATGAAAGCACGAACTAAGATTTAAGTCGAAAAGTCTCGCGAATTTAATTAAATATAAAATAGATACTTATTCCGTGTAGAGGATCGAAGAATGAATGGAACTATGAACATTTTTCATAGTTACGATTTATGAATAAGTTTTTGCCTGAACACGATTTTTACTTTACACTTCCCGGTCTTGATTGTGTATGGATTAGAAAGCGGTGTTCATTATTTGAATTAATAATTAATGTTGAATTCTTTTCTTGCTCAAAACTGCATACAATTTGGAGAATATAGCATAATTTTAAAAGAGAGTCAGATTTGAAATAGCTTACATTAAATTTTCTAGTACTACAAATTGTGGTAGAAAATTATTCACGTCTGTTTAAGTTACAAAAGTTTCCTCCATCGTTTACATCATTTACTATTGTAGCTGTTTTCTCTTTTTTTATTCCTTTTTTGATATTTTAAGGACAATATACAGATTATTATAATCGATAAACAATTTAGTGTAAAGAAAAATAAAAAAACGAACCGAGATAACAGAAAAGGCAGTATGTAACAATATATGAAAATGAAGACTGTAAATGAAAACAAATATCACATGTATTGTCACATCACTTGGGAAGCACAATGTCGAAGGTAGAAAAGAATATAAATATATATTGGAAACTGCAAGACAAATTATTCTAAATGTATTCTTTCTTATTGGATAATTAATATTGGATAATAATAGCAACGATGAATTATATTGTACGATTAATGGAGGGAAAGAAAGAGATAAAATTATAAATGTTTTATTATTTTTTCAACATTGTGTGTCTAAAGTTTTTTGGCACACATGAATACATCGGTATATTTTTCGTTTATGTGACAATGTGCGGTTTCACGCATCACAATTAATTATGCTTTATTTATTAGCGATAATCGTATCATACATAATCAGTTTGACGTATGCATTATTAAATAGAAAAGAAATAAATAGGCATACTTTCCACGAGGCATACTTTTACTGCGTCATTGTCGCGAGCGTGAAATTACCCACCGTTGCGAAAGATGAGTATAAAATGATTTATAAACATAGATTATTTTATGTAGAATATATGTATAATAACGATTGAGATGATTGCAATCGATACAATGGTATAAAGCTACAGCAATATACATAGAAAATATTTCTACATTCTTTGTTTTAAATCACATTCGAATTATTTAATTTTTATTTATTCAGTCATCATCAGAGAAAAAGAGAGGATGAATAAATGAAATGGTGAACGCGTAAAATCTTAAAATATTAGCAGTAATTACATTCATCATCACATAATCAAAGAGAATTAATTTTTGTTGCCGGTGATGTATATAAATATGAAAAATTGCAACAAATGATAGAAAATAAGATAAATCTAGAAAATCTCGATTTTTTATCAATGTCGATGAATTATAAAGGTAGTCACTGAATTAAAAAGAAGAAATATTTATAATTAAAATAATGTAATTTAAATTAGTCATTTTAAGTAATCGAAGGAATTGGTTGATTCAAAAATTTTATGTAATTAATAATTAAATTTTGGCGTGTCAAATGCACACAAAGAATTATCTCGAAATTGTTTTTATTTCGGGTTTTAATTTGTAGAGTTTTGGCATGTTACTTTAGAAATACAATATATTTCAAACAGTCGTTGTACATAGTTAATTTGTATGTACATATTTTGGATTGCAACAAATTTTAAATTTTGATCTCTGTCTTTATTGGCTCTTTGAGTTTTTTATATTTTTACGGTATCTAGATCAATGTTTAAAATTTAATAATAAAATTTCAAAATTTCCAAAATTAAAAAAAATTGAAAAGATTTGGCCGGAAATATTAGAAGTAAGTTTAGCTTTTACGATAAACAAATTATTTAATTGTGGCATATGTACTGAAATTATTTGTTGCAGATTTTTCAGTTTTCTTTTAATTACAAAAATATAACATTTTACTGAAGGATACTGAAATCACGAAAAAGATAACTACAATTGTAAATATTACAATAATTTTCATAATTTGTTTCTTTATTAAATAGCATAATATATTTCTAAATTTGATAAAATATTAAAATATTTTAATTTTTTTACTTTATAAAATATAAAAACAGAAATTGTAAGAGAGAGGAAAGCTTGATTATTATTTTCGCTCAAATCTTCAATTATTATTGTTGATGACATAAATTGCAATATTTGCGCATGGGAAAGAATCTGGAGAAAAGCATATTGAAACCTTCGGGTATTTTCTATTTGCTCGATATATCTTTCACATGTGTTATTTATTTTACTTTTTCGATTGTCTGCCGTTCTTGTTTTCCAATAATGTATTAAGTAAGGTTTACTCTGTGTAAAAAAAGTAAAATTCTGTAGATATACGTAGTGATTTCATATCATTTATTTTTTTTAAAGTTTGTAGATTTACATTTACATTACGAATTTAGTGCTAAATGTAACCGTAATTTATATAGATAATAGATGGACATATAATTAGCAATATATGATAGTATTATTATAATACAATTGTCATTTAATTAAATATACGGTTAATATTTAGCGCTAAATGTGTAAAACGTAATATGCAGACGTTTATTTGTCGATGTATTAATTCAATTAAATATCTATCGTAAAAATATTTCGAAGATCAACAATGATTGTGCCAGCATTTTGTATTTGATAAAGAAATGCACTGTGATAAAAATCCTCCTGATATTTGTGAGATTACAAAAGGACAGATGAATATAAAGAATATAGAAAAGGAGAAGGGGCGATGAATACAAAATGAGAAAATAAAACAAGGAGGAATAAATGAATCTATTGTAGAATGACTTAAATTTTAATTGAAAACATGTCCTATTACTTAACGTGCATTTAGATATTATAAATACTGATACATGTGAAACATACATACATTGTATATGATGATATGCTTGGATAATGCTCGAACTTTTTTGTGAGCTCTTACAATAGTAAATATATTTTCTATATGTAAGTTATTGTTACGCATGTAACATTAATCTAGTGATTATTTATATGATATGATATTCAGAAAAATAATACTTCAGTAATTGTATAAGTCATAATTTCTGTTATTGAATGGAATCCTTATTGTCATAATAATAATTGCGAGTTTTATATAGCTTTTATGATGCGAATGTGAAATTATTAGCAAAAATGTGAAGTGTTTCCAAAAGAGAATAATTTTTTTTGTAAGCATGATATATATTTATTCTTCTTTCTAATTTAATAAATAAAAGTACGCATCTCGATCTAATATATATTATAAAACATAATATACATATATGTTACTTAAAACTCCAATATCCATAATATTTAGAAATATATTTACATATATATTGATCTGATAATAGTAAAATTGCAAAATTAAATTTTTAATATAATAAGATGCGTACTTTAAGATTTAGACAATAGAATTAATTTAAGCATTATAATTTCTCAATTTTTTACATATTTTTTATATATTATGTATTGAAAGTATTTTACAAAAATATTTAGTACAATTAATTTTATATTTCTCTAACAAAATAATTAACACTTAAACATTATGATAAAACATTATATATTGTTTATTAAAAATTTTAAAAAAATTGCATAATATATATTTTGCGTTTACGTCTTATTTGTATATATTGTTATTTTATGATAAGAATTATATATTTATAATATTTTCAAATATGTAATTTAATCAATAAGTATAATGTTAATCGATAAGTGACAACTTTTTATATAGTTCTGCTATATTACAGATTATATTGCTAGTAATAATCTGTGTAAGAGGAATTTAAAAAATCTCGAGCTGTGCAGTTATCTTGCTAGTCTATAACTGCGAAGTTTTCTATCAGTTATATTCTTATAAGATATTAATTTCCCTAAAAACAAAAAATCTATATTGTATGTGTTTTAATTCTTTTATTAATGTATGAATAATTAGAAATTTGATGCCACAGATGTTTGGGCGGATTTTTAGTTAGGAGTGTATAAGAAAATATGTAAATATATTGTAGATCAGGTAAAATTAAATATAGCGCGGTAGATATAAGTAATTAATTATATTACACATGCATTCATGTAATATAATTATGAAGGATATGTTCCTATATATAAAGTTATTATATAAATTTAAAAAACTGAAAGTGTTTGTGTTAACTAATTCTCTATTTTTATCTTTCTAAATTTTTGGTTCTGTAGAAAAATAGAGAATGTACATTAAACTTTATTTCCATCATTTGTAAAACAGTCACATACAAATAATCTCGACATAACATCATTGATGAAATATCTAAATGAACATTTAGTCGCTCAGACTAATTTGTTTCGTATTTACATTAATTTAATATTAATTTATTGATCGTAATTGATGATTAATATATGAAAAAGGAATAAATTTTACTAGATTTATATAGATCTTTTGATTGTATGTGATAAATATATCTCTTTTACATGTATATATCAATGTGTCATGTACAATGAGAAAATGCACGATTATATATTTCTTTTTATTTATATACTTCTAAATATTTATTTGCTATATACACGTTCCTATGTTTTAGGGCAAAATAATATATTAAAATAAATATTTGAATGAATACTATCAAATAATTTATTGTTATTATACATTAGATAAAGATATATATATGAAAAGTGGAAAAGAAAATATATGTATATATATGTGTCTGTGTGTGTATGTATGTGCATGTATGTGCGTGTGTTTAGAAAAGAAGAATATATACATAAAATTGTTTGCTTATTGTCGAATGTTTAGTCAATTATTATTATGACTGTTATTCATGCGCCTGAATTTCATTTGCTTGTAATTAAACTGTACGTCTGTAAATACGAAAGTAATGCAAGTTGCATATAATGAATTACTAGAAGAATAAAGTTGCCAAAAATTCATCGTATATACATCATATGTTCAATTATGTACAATGACTTTTCCTTAACTTATGCCAACTTATATTATTTTTAGAAATAACATGTAACGAATGATATGCATTGAAAAGAGGATTCATAAACATTTTTTTGAGATATAGAAATAAAAATGAATTAGCTTATTCAAATTTAAATTTATGTCGACATTTTATATATGTGAATATTTTATATATGTTAATATCTAAATAAAATCACTTTAATGAATTATATGTACATAAAAAATTTATATATATTATATGCACATTGAAAATATATTAATAGGATAAATCTGTATGTCTTCAAAAATATATATAAACCATGTGTGATATATAAAATTAAAAATATTAAAATTGTATTTTTAATTTTATTATGAAAAAAATACATTTATATGAAATGATTAGGATTTCATTGATAAGTTTTCTAAAAGTGTAGAGACATTAAATGCTTCTTTAAAAGAAACTAATTTTCTCGCAGCCGCTTGCTTATTCAAGTTTATAGCGGCGAGTTCGAATTTGTTTTTCCATTCTTTTGAATCATGTTTCTCAACGGAGCACATAACGATTTCGTTTACTTCATCTTGAATGGTGTAATAGGCGAGTGATTGAAATATTGAGTTCAGTTCATCTTTTGCTTTCTGTTTTAAATTCTTATCTCTGCTAACTAGATTCAAGATAAAAAGACCGTCCTCCGTTAAGCATGTTGTAACTGTTTTTAATAGTGATAATTCGAGAAATTGTTTAGGCGGACAACTCATTCCGACAGTAGTATCTTTACTATCGACATCGAAGAGTATTGCCTTATACTTTTTCTCACGTGTCGCAGCATCTTTAATAAATTGAATTCCATCCGCGATCTCGACTTTCATCCTATCGTCAAGAATAAGATTGAAATATTCGGTAGCCATTTTTAGCATCGCATTGTCAATGTCAACTGCAGTGATTTTTAACTGAAAAAAATTCAATTTGTTAAAAAAAATTTAATTCAAATCTCTTGCATGTGCAGTGCTTTATAAACTGACAATAAATCTGATAATAAATTCTATTGTAAATATACATACTTTGGGGAAGCAATGATGTAAGAATGTGCAAAGAGCACCACCTCCAAGTCCTATAATTATAATCTCCTGCTCTTCTTTTGTATCTATCACTGCATTTACGCCAGCGCTCATATAAATGTGATGTTGACAAGCCAAAAATCCAGGATCGATAACTTTTTTCGTTTTACCACGTCTAGATTTTGCTATAAATAATTGTGTCGTTAGTTATATAACATACAATAATATTTATAATTGTAGAATTTTTGAATTTATTGCTAATCATAGTACCTTCTTTTAGTCTAGCTTCACTTTGAATAACATATGGATTGTTCAAAAATATAATGCGTCTGAATTCGTGACCATCTTTCTCCACCTCTTCGACAATGAATGATCCGCTGATGTCGCTCTTTCCTTCGTAACAAGTAGTTCGAGTTCCAACGTCGGAGCCCAAAGACAAAAAAGGAATATTATTTTTACCACACAAGCCAGCTGGTGCTAGATTGCGTATGCAGTCTTGTAACTCAGTTTTCACAGCATCCCAACTTTCAAATTTATGTTCTCTACGTAAAGTCACTATCGCAAGTCTGTCGTGTTTCGCACTTTTTAGAACTTGCTGTCGTCCTTCCTTCGTACTAAACAACCAGTCCATCTCTCTGTTAAATAAAAAACCATTAGGACAATATAATTTACAGTCAATTGACAAGTTTACATTTGAAAATCGTCGAACGTACTTTCCCTGCGGAACAATGAAAGCCGCATATGTTTTCGTTCCGTGTGTACGTGGTTGATCGAGAACATAAACAGTATATCGTGGATGCTTATCACCTGGACGATGCAGATCCAAGGATATTTCGCCCACATCGGCAACGCTTCTCTTGTAAAGACTATTACACACTAATGCCGATTGTTGTGCGGACAATATTGCGGATACCATATCATCCGTCGAAGATAATCGTTCAGGTGGACCATCGACCAGTGCTATTTCAAGGACCTATCAGAATTACAATTTAAAAATAAATTCGATAACTTGCTCACTCGGCTAAAGCTAATTATAAGATGACAATGTAACAAATTTTATTGCTTTTATTACAATAACTTACGGTTTGGGTTAATTTGACAAACTTTGTAGCAATGATCACAAAAATTGGCACCAAACTGCCATCCTCTAAACGCGCCTTTGATTCAGCTTCGTGGCATCGTGATATGCGGAACATAAAACCCGAAGCAGGAAAGTAAGATAAGAGTTTTCGTAGGATGTGTTCCTGTAGCAATGATATACAGATATATCTGCCACCATTTCGTAACACTCGTGTGATTTCCTAAAATATAAGTTTTACTTGTTAGAATAAGAATTATAAAATCTCTTTTACAATAATCAGAAACTCACTTTGAAATATTTGTCAATTGTAGATATAGTTGTCTCTTTGGTATCTGGCATTAAAGCATCTAATGTACCTTTATCAAGAATTACATTGAATTTTTCATCAAGATATGTCATTTTTGTGGCATCCATATGTTCGTATATCAAGTTTGGCCTTGCACTTTTATTTATATCACGCATTTGTTTGATAACAATATGTGATATATCAATATTAATGATATTTCTGTAAAAATCACATTTAACACCTATTATAATGGAAAGCACTTATAATATAAATACTAATTTGTATGAATCAATTAATTTAACAAAATATTGTAATTTATATATATATATATATATATATATAAAAACATTGCAAAGAATATATATACAAGATTTACCTGTAACCAACATCGTACAAAGACATGCTCACTGTAGAATTTCCACAACCAACAATCAAAATATCATCCTTTATTTTTATATATTTTACAAGTATTTCACATAATTCTGGATATTCACCGTACCTGTAGTCAGACATAAATAATCAGAATGTAACAAGTTATAATTATAGTCAAAGAACTGTTCATTTAATTATAGTTTCATACCATTCGAACACTTTTTTGCCACGTTTTTTAAAGAATGTGTTCCAATAATCCGCATGACTAAATTCTTCATGTGTTTTTGGTAACAGATTCATGTTTTACAATAAAATATTCCTCGTGTTCACAAGTGAATGTAATGTGCTTAAGATTATATTTTAATATTACATAAATTAAATTCTAATATATAATGTATAATTGTGTCTTCCAACTTTGAATATACAAAGAAGTGACCATCAAATAAATCATACTGTAAGCACGAATTTAAATATTATCACATATATTTTTCATTATATTATCTATTTTGTTTGGTTCTTTAGAGACATTTCACGTGTATCGCAAAGCAAATGTTTGGTTAGTGCGGGATAAATGAAGAACGATGACATTACCAACCGACTCGATTTACCGACCGAATAATTATCGACGGAGCGTATCTCTTGTATTTCCGCTAGATAGCGCTGCATTACCAAAAAGTAAATGCAAGCATTTCCGGTTCCCTCCATAATTGCTACTAGTCGAGTTTTCGTCGAGGGAGAATTGAATCTGCGTTAATCTTTTCATCAAGTGTAAGTTTTACACTTATTATCACGATATACTGTCGATAGCTCAATATTTCTTTATAATCTTTGTATAGATGATGAATTTAATCGTGAAAATGATTATATTTTCTCTTTACTAGGTTACGTACTAGGTTACTCAAGAGGCGCGAAAAGAGAGCAATTTGGCGGCTTCGGAAGTCAAAGAGATCACATCAAAGTAGTAAGTGTTACATTTACAAGAAGTGTTATATTTACGGGATTGTGTCCAGTCCCGTATATTTTTCATGTTGAACGATAGCTTAGTGTATATATACATAATATGAGGCATATTTATATTTACATTGCATTTATATATATACATATACATATATATATGTATATATATATATATTTTTTTTTTTTCATATTATATTTATATTATATTTCATATTTATTATTTTATATTATATATTTTACATATAATATTTTAAATGCAAATATTTTTCTTATATATATATATATATATATATACTAAAAAAAAATTTAATTATTCAAATAAATATTTATTTCAATACTCTTTTATACATCATTTATTTAAAACAAATAATATTGATTTGCCATGAAAAAATATTTATTTGATATAAGAAATTCTTTTTCACAACAGATAAATATTTATATGTTTCAAATATGTGGAAATGGAACTTTAAATCAATATTTATTTGAATTTAATATAGTTTTTTTAAATGTATATAAATAATTTACCGGATACGCAAATTAAACAAATTTAGTACATATTTAAATGTTGATTTTATTATATTTTATCCATAAATGCCCATATAATTCACAGATAGTTACTCTTTTTGTGAAATATTTTGATTATTTTTCATTAGATATCTTGATTAGAAATTAATTTAATTTATCAGTCTGCGATTTGATTGTATCATTGAAATCTAATTAATGCTAATTTTACCTAACGACTTATTTTCAATTTTTGGGCACTTTTTTGGCTCTTATACTTTCACTACCATGTTAGTCGAATCTACCTGATATCCAGTCGTTCTTACAACAGATCGTGATGCGATTTGTAAGAGTAGCGTATGTATCTTTCTCTCTCAACTGTGGTGAAAGCGTCAATCTTTCAGATATTTTATTCGGCATCATGACCTTTCTTTTAAGATTTCAGAATTTTAATAAAATGTTTAAAGCCTATAAAAAGAGCTACAATATATGTATATATACACACGAAGAAAGAATAAGCAATTTTTATATGAATGCAGGTACAGTAAATATACATTGAATATTAGTGGAATGTATTAAATGACAAACAAATATTTTTCATATTATATTTTACATAATAATATTTAAAATGCAAATATTTTTCTTAAAAATATATACACAAAAGAAAGAATAAGCGATGTTTTTATGAATATGCATAAATACACATTTAATATTATCAGAGGGAATTTATCAGAATTTATTAAACAATGTTTTTATTTTATATATATATATATATATATATATATATATAATATTTGAAAAGCAAATATTTATTCTTAAAGAAAGTAATGCAAGTGTAATGTGTACATTGAAAAAAACAAAATTAAATTGACTAAACCTTTCAACAAAATTACTATTTTGTTAATTGAACATATGTATGGTAAATTAATACTTGTTTTGTTAGATTTAATATGTTATATTTAATTTAAAGTTCTATATGTTTAATTAACAAACTAATATTTAATTGAACGATTTAGTCCAGTTAACAATTTTTTTTCAGTGTATATCAAACACATTATTATTGTTTTATCTATTAAACATTATCTTGTCAACACAGCTGGCTTATTTATATATAACATATATTTTATATATATTATATTGCCATGCATATGATAAAGCATATATAATCTTTATACATAACACATATATGCTTCTTATATACTATTATTATATTATATAATCTTATTATATCTATATATCTTATTATATTCTCCAGCGCGATTTTTACTTACAATTAGAGCATTATTCTACCGAATTAAAAATATTACGCGTCACGCGAATTTCTCCCGAGTGTATTAAAAGAATGACGTGCGCGATAAAAAAAAATGTAACATATATACAGAAAAAAGAATAATATTTCTTTGAAAAAAAACCGGCAAAAGTAGGACTTTTTATCGTTATCTGCATCGGTCGTACTCGATAATTTTTCCGCTATGACAAACCGCGCGCAAACGCATTTCCAACACAAAAGGTATAACAATGCATATCGTCGTTTCAGCTTTTATATCGAAATAACTCGATCATATAAGTCTTCCTCGGAACACGTGTGTGCATACCACACGAGCGCTCTTTCCGCTAAATATGTGGTCGACGACGTGCGATAAAGCGATGCCGCCGCGTACATAGTCGTCTTCGTCGTCGTACCTGAAAAGCGTTTGTGAAACATTAAAAGTCGCGATATGCGACGTTGTCGCCTAATGACGCCCCTCGAGACGCTCGCAACGATAATTATTGCACGACGGCTTTATTGACGGTACACCGGAGAATACACTTTCCTCGTTTCTTGCCACGTGGTGTACGTTATAATTCTGCGCGATACGACGACGTCACTTTGTTAATGTCGCACAGGGAATACGCGATAATACGCGCGACGAGGACGATGCTTCAATGGAAGCATTGCTCGTTTACATCGCGTATTATAATCTAGTATTTAGATATATCGATATCTTCTGCTTATAATATCCGGCTTATACCTTTCAATTTTTCAATTTTTGTATAATATGATGCCAATTTTTCATATTTTGTTTTTGTTGTCCTCGCCGTCCTTTAATATACACTGCTTAATTGGGTGTAAAGCTATACCTAATGAAGTCTTTCTCAATACAAATTATATTAAATCGAGAATTAATATTAAGTATATATATAAGGCTATATATATATATATTATAATACCACAGAAAATATTGAGATATTTTTTATAATTATGCAAAAATAAGGAGAAAAATAAGGACTCGTCATATTTATCATAGTATAATTGTTGGTATTAAAATTAATTTTTTATGGTTTGCACAAAAGTAATATTCCAATACAGTAAAAGAATTTTTAAACGAGAGGATAATTATATGTTATTTTTAATCTTTTTTTATTTAATATAAAATAAAATTAAAAAGTTTAATATTGAAACTAAATAAGCATTAAATGCTCATAATGCAAATATTTTGCAAGCAGCCTACGCATATATATGAATCTTTCTCAATATTCAATCTATAAATGAAATATATTTGTCACTCAATTATAGTACAATTAATTGTATACAATCATTTTAAATTATTTAGTATAAAATTAATTAATCCTTATAGCTTACAAGCTATAATTCTTGATTTCGATTTTCTGAATGACTATAAGCTTTCCAGCACTTTAATACATCAACATACTTCCGGAAAATTTACAAGAAAGAATATGTTTGAATAATTTAGAACTCTCTAAATAGAATAAACAAGAATGATGGTGCAAATGATAAGATCGCAGCCATTGTAAAGTAATCGCGTTATGGGAGTGTTTTTACTAAACCACCATATCGATCAGTCCTTATATTCTTCTTAACTTATTTGTATCATTGTCCTCATTTAGGACATCTCATATCATTAACGGCCTGTATATTTTACGTAGTCGTTTATCTTGTGTAGTTTTACGGTCTTTTCATTTCTCTTCCTAAGACAATCACAATTATCTTGTTTATCTTTAAAAAAAAACATGCAATCTTTTAAAAGAAGTACAAAGTGCTTTCGTTCTTCAAGCGCTTTGTATTTCCTTTAAAAGATTGCATATGTTTCTTTTTAAAGATATTTGAGATATATATATATATATATATATAGAAAGATATAAAGAAAGTAGAAAGTAGATATGTATAATAAAATGAGAGAGAGAGGAGAGAGATTAATTGAGAAAATGTATGGATCCTAGTATATTAGGTTACGAAACAATTTACAATTAATTAAGCTTCACGCGTTCTATCATTTGAGAGCTATCGTCGGAGGTATCAGAAATTACCCCACAGGTGTTGCCATTGATTCCCGTTGGGAAATTAACTGCAACGCGAGCAATTTGCATCACGCAGAAGTCAGGTGCGCATTGACGTTTCGCGCGATATAATTCATACGCGTTTTATTTATCGCTTTCCGAAAAGGACATAAATAAGTGTGCGCGCAGATAAAGTAAATGTACATAAAAGTTTCACGAAAATTTCACGATAATTGCAGCGAAAGTGTTATCCATAGGATGCATGCAAGTTTGTACGTATTTTTATAAACCAGAAATTCGTGGTAATATTTAAAGACACATGGAGTCTATCATTATTTTGCATGTCAGATTTGCGAATTGAATTAAATAATATTGCGTGTTGCATGAATCGCGTTTCAAAATTAAATTGACATGACTTTGATTCTTTATTTGATTTGTTATACATATATACTTTTTATTGCCTCTGCCAAATATTTCTCAATTTTAATAATATTCGTGAAAAGTACAATGATCTAATTAATATAGATATCTTTTGCCGATATTTTAACATTCACGTTATATATATAGTTCGATCGTATTTTAATTACGTGGTTGAAAATATTTTATAGAATGCTATGACAGCAAGTCAAGCTCGAGTTTACGACTGTATACTATTTTTTTTATTGACGTAGAAAATATTTTTTCTTCTTTACATAGCAACTTTACCATTATTAGATAGTACTCTGAAAAAGTAATGAGAAGTTACTTCGAGAAAGAAACTATCAACAGCTCGATAACGTTTACATTGCGCAATAGCGATAAATATTCAGACATTCATCGTAACATGCAAATTCACTCGGTTATACAAATAGTTAAATATATTATACTTTAACATTAAAATAATTAACGTTAAATAAAATTCTGAAAAAATAATACTGTATCGAATTATAGCAAAGTGATTACAAACCTTTACCCAAAGAATTTGCTATTACGAGATATATATTTTCATATACATTGTGCATGTATTACTCGACAAAATGCATTTTGATTATTCTTAATTTTCGATGGGAAATCAGGTGCAAACGGTACGGGTGCGAAATCGACTGAAATGAGAGCACGTGTAATTGACGCGAAAGCGCAATCGATAATCTGTACTATATTCGTATATATGTATATGTGTATATATTGTGTATATATATATATATATATATATATAGATATATACGTGAAATGATATGAAAGCAA